TGGAAATGTGTTTGTGCGCAACGGAAATGCATTTATTTGTCCACAGCTTGGACAGCGTTTAATGAAGTGACCGCCTCTCAACACCACACCGAACCACTCCGACTCCAATACGAATACCCACACAAATACCACTACTCCAACTGCAAGTCCAAGTCAGGGCGTTAATTGATGAATCTGCTTGGGCAGCTTCAATGACTACCCCTACACCTAAGACCCTGAGCCCTAACCCTACCTGTGCTCGGCATGTGCTATTTCTTGGAATTTTCACGGCATGATTTCCTCTTCTCAGTGTACCAAACGAAAAAAAAAAAAAAAAACAACAACTTTTCTAGTTATTTTCATGTTAAACACATCTATTTAAATTTTAATGATGTTTGTAATGATGGTGCTAAATATTTCCCACATTATTATCACCTATCAGCCATCGTCAGCAACGGCCAACAGCCAAAGTCATTCATTAAATATTTTTGGCTGTGCCGTCTCGCTCGCCTCGTCTTGAATCGATCTGCTGCATATCTTCTAGAGTTGATGTGATTTACTTGACATTGAGCTTAGCCTTCACACAGATTCTGAAACACTTTATGATACGGCGTTGCTTTGCCTTATACAAGTTTGCCTAATACTTCAATATTTCTTTGCAGATAATACAACTAGACTTGAAGCTACAAATTAAATTTGTTCTTCTTCTTAAATGAAAAGTGGAAGCTGAGAGAAGTTCTTGAAATAGATAAACAGATTATAAAGGCAATCCCCATTTGACGATGGTAATAGATCCAATTGACGATGAATAAATCCAATTTTATAGAGTTGAAAAATTGAATTAGTACATGAGATTTTTATGAAGGTGTATTTTCAATCGACTATTACTTTGTGAAGAACTACGACTTAAGTATTAGCTTGTGATATTCTATATAAAGCTCAAAGAGCTACAAAAATAGCAAAACAAATATAGATTTTGGAGAGATATTAAATATTTGCGGAGCATATTTCCCTTTCGGGCAGCTCTGTGGAATTTTTGCTATTGCTTTTATATATTTGGAGCTGTGATTGATCGTTGAGGCTGGACGGGCTGCTAAACAGTTTTTATGAACTTCAGGCAAACACGCATTCGAAAGAGAGGAAAAGACTCGAAGACCTCCATTAGAAAAGTTTTGGGCATAGAAGACAATGATCATTGGGGACGTGGACCGAACCCTTGTCTATTATTTGATTAAGAAATTAACAGACAAGAACTTATTACAGCAGCTGCGCTCTGGGGCGGAGGTGTTGATTGGGCAACGCCCTGGACACCGGACCAAGGAGGATGGGGGTAGATGGGAATGATGGCGTTCTCAAATTTATGGGCGCCCATGATGAGCCATAAAATGTTTTTATGGCCAAGGGGCAAGTAGCCCTAGTTTTGCTATTGCTACCCTTTCGACTCGCGATCGAGGTAAATGCGACCTCAACATTTTTTGCCTTTAGTCCACAAATTAATTCATGTGATTTATGGCCGAGTTGCCTGAATTTTCCCGATGAAAAGCGTTGCAGTTGCGGTCTGCTACGATTCAATGTTCTGCGCAGGGCAGATGGGCATGATGGGAGAGGAACGTGCCGGGGTGTCGAGGGTCATTGATTGAAATGTCAAGATTCATTAGGCATGAGGTGTTTAATTGCGCCCCAGCACAGGAGCGGCTCAACAGCAGATGCGGGTGCTGAGCAAATACTCGAGATTTATTGATGTAGATAAGGGAAATATGTCTGCATATATGTATGTATCTTATCTGGCATAAATCTATATATATAAAAGAAAGTTGTGTAAAAGTGAAGACTGCTYATAACTKKATTTRGGCYGAAYYAATTTTYATGGTTTTTGATTTGTTGGATTTGTCTCCGCAACGAGTTTAGTATAGGGTCTTAAAAATACTGAAAAAATTTGCCGAATACTTGAAAAACGCGGTTTTTTCCCCAAATGTTCAAATTTTTTTTATACCCAGTAGGCTTGGTAACAGTGACAGTTTTGACAATAGTGTAGAAGTAAATAAACAAATGTAGTCAGTCAGTCTACGGTCTCCTGACCTCGAGCAGACCTGACTATTCAAAAAANCGATGAGCTCAACAGATATGCCCTTTGAATTTAAACGAATTCAATTCCCGCTTCGTCTTGCCTTCGCCATGACGATCAACAAGTCACAGGGCCAATCTTTGACTATTTGTGGCCTCAATCTAGAAAATGCGTGTTTTTCTCATGGTCAATTGTACGTGGCATGCTCACGTGTTGGCAAACGATCCGCATTATTTGTTCTTGCACCCGACCAAAAAACGAAGAATGTCGTTTACAACAAGGTGCTTGAATGAAAATCCGATTAATAAATTTATCAGYRTWTCCYAGCCTGAACAACATAGCTTTCAACAATTTTTTACCTAGAAATAATWTAGAGGGCAATGCAACGTTTGCCGGGCCAGCTAGTAGATACATATTTTTATGCTGATCTACACGTGTTTAATCTTCTGTCCTTAAAATAGTCTCTCGATCCGCACACTAAATATTTTTAACAAAAATTTAGTGATAAGTTTTCATCGAGGTCAGGTTAGTATATCATGTAACTACATAAGCAAAAATCGTGTATGCATCTTTTTAGAGTATATGTACTACTCTTGTATAATCTTCGTCGTGTTGTAGCTACCCGTTATTATTATTATTGGCTACTTTAAGTAATTCCTGCTCAACAGAGATAGAATTTGTAAACCTTGAACAGTTATTTCGGGTGGGAAAATCCCTGCAAATTTTGTTTGCACAAGTGCACATCGGGTTTAACCCAGCTGCCAGCAGCTTAGTGTTGCATAGCACATCATAAAACCCGAACCGAGAGATATAGATGGCCGGTACATCAATTGTTATTCATGAAAATGCTGAGGCTGCCGTAGTAGACAGTAGACAGCAGACTAGTTGACCTGGGTACCTAGGTATCTGAGCTTCCGCCTAAAATACCACAGCTCATGCAAATAATGGAAATAGTCCGGGATGCAGCCGCAGTGGGCGTGTGAATTGACAAAGGCATTTTTCGCACATTAGGCATAAATGCTGTGGCCTTTTGCCTTTGGCCTGCGACTTTCTATGCACACAGATATAAATCCATATATCTATATTTTTTTGTAAATACCAGCTGAACATTTTCACGCGCAGCTTGCACCTGTTGTGTGGCATTTGTTGTGCTGCTTGAAAATGTGCAAAAACACGACGGCGGCAGAACAATGGACGATACTTTAGAGTACATTTAAGGTCCTGCTGGCATAGCTCGTGCTGCGACCCTTCGAGCCGCTATCTCAGTTTTTGGAACAGCTGCGGGCAATCAGCCAAGCGGCCATTCGGCCGTTTAACGCAGGCATTCAGGCAGCCGGGCTGCAATTAGCCACGGCCGGACTACAAAAATTGACCTGCCAGTGAAAGTTGGCGCGTTTCAAATTATTTTTTATTTTTAGCTCAACGCGAGCCGGCTCATAAAGTTAGCAATTTAAGCGCCAAAAGATAGCTCCACGGTATACCAAACTATTAAATTGGGCCTGAGGTTTGGCGACTTGGGTTTTGCATTTGTGGCACAAATTGAAATTAAAATTACATAATATGGAAATGTTGTATTCTGTTATCGGTAGAGTCTAAAGAAAATTTTGCGTGAGCTGTGAAATATGCTTATCTCTAGTATTGTAGAGTTAACATAGCTCTTTTGGGATTGGAATAACTTAGACACTATGAATATCTAAGTGGATCAACAGATAACTCGAATTCCTATGAAACTGATAAATAATTGATTGATCAATCAGTAAATTATTTGTTTATTTAATCAGTCTAGTCTGTAAATCATTGAGTCAATCAACGAACAATTCGTTTGGCGTTCAAACAATCTTTCAAACAATCAGTCATTTAATCAATCAATCATGCGATTAGTCCGGTAACCATTGAGTCAATCAATGAATTGAACAATCCAACCGTGAATCAATTAGGCAATACAACAATCTGCCAATCTATCAGCCAATGAGTTTCACAGTCAATCAGTGAGTCAATTAATACTTCATTTTTCAATCAATCTGTCAGTAAATCAAACTGTCACCACTCAGACAATAAGTGTTAGTCAGTCAGTCAATCAGTCATCAATCAGACGAAAAGTGGAATCAGTCAGTCAGTCAATTACTAAAGCAATCAATCAAAAATAAATGTATCTCAGGTTAAACAGTTAGTCCGACAGTCAATCAATCCATCGACTCATTCAATCACTCTGCGGCCAAATATTCAGACAAGGAAGTTGTTAATCAATCATATTCCGATTTGTGTTCTACTTGTTAAAACGCTCATGTAGTTTTTGTACTAATAAGTATGCATGGCGTATCAATCCATGACAAAGTTGCACTTGTCGAACGAAATATGAAGGTTTTTCAAATTTATGTTGACGATTTGACAGATAGATGTAACATAATTGATTGACAGTTTAAAAACGTCTGAGAGTTAGTGAGAGTGAGAAAAATATTGAACATATTTTGACTTGATTGTAAAAGTAATGCCAGGTTTTTGGTCGAGTGACTTGCTGGGTTCGGGAATTACTTGAGATGAGATGAGATGCTTCATTGTCATGGAAATGAAAGCAACAACAATAATAAGCAGAAAAAAGTACTTAACATTGCTGCCGAATGTCGTTGTCGAATGTTATTGTTAGTGAAAGGTTGTCGAAGAAAATGTTAACTACAAAATGTGATGGCATTTCCTGCAAGACACACGCGTTATAAACAACATAGCTCAGATCGAGAGCGAGCGAATCAGAGACAGAGACTGAGAGACTGACAGGGAGTGGGGGTGACGGTAAGGGAGTGGGAGTCAGGGAGAGAGAGAGAGAGAGAGAAAGGGATACATTAGATCGATTTTTTGTTTTTTTTTTTTTAGGTGTATGTAGTGTCTGTAGATGTGGGACTCGAACCCGTTTAGCTATAATAGGTGGGAAGTTGTAAATTGTAATTGATTTAGTACTTACGAATCTGTGAAATGTCTGTCACTGAGACTGTTCCTTCCGCAGCTAGGTGTATGGCTTTGTTGTGTGCACACTGTGACATTATTACGTAATCTTCTACTGTACATAATGCACCTGAAATCACCACCTGAATGGGACGGAGAGCGAGAAAGAGTAAGAGAGAGAGAGAGATGGCATTAGAAAGTGTTTCTTTATCAGAGGCGCTCTTATCGCACATATCTTGCGTATCTCTAACAGCCAATCAATAATTGTATCTAAAACAGATACAACAACCTAAATTGCATACTAGTGTTTACACCTTGTCAAAATGCGAGTCACACACACCCGCCCACACCCGCACACACACAGACACGCTTCCTCACACAACTGCGCCTTTTTTATGACTTCCTCTTCGTTTCCCTCCCTCTTTGGGCGTAGCTCAGTAGTCGCCTGCTTGTCCATTTATCATGTTTGATTTGTTGTCTCTTTTGTTATTTTATAACATTCATTCATAATCGCGTTTTCGATTTGATGAATTTATTGGATTTTTTACCCACAGTGTGGTGGCGCTTGTTGCTTTGATTATTGTGCCAGGTCAGGTAGTAAATTAGACGGGAAACTGGATCGGTTAATATTATTTTAAGCCTCCTCGACTGTCACTAGCAAACATGCTTTATGGTTCATCTATAACCACATTTAATATGTTACCATAATATATTGAAAGTCGGCTTTGTTCAATTGTAATGTGGATTGAAAAATGTGCACAAATATTAGATTGAGTTTGAATATATCAAAAGTATATACATATTTTCTAATTAGCATTTCTACTACTTAAGTAATAAATAAATAAATANACATATATGTATAATTCTCAGCAGTTCTCAAGTTGGTTCCAAAATGGTTTTCCATTCTTAAAATAATTAATTTAGTTATCAATAGCATTTAAATTAATTATAAATTCGAGAGCTTTATCGACTAAAACCCTCAATCCCCTGAGGCTTTTTGCACCCCTCAGTTTAAATTGTTGTTTAGCGCCACAACAAACCCCTCAAAACATCGACGACCACCCAATGCGGACGCCCTCTTGGAGCCTTCCAAGCACATGTTAACCACTCCAGAGCGCACTTGACTTCAGTCAAGGCCTCTCGAGATTGGAAACGACTTCGCTTACAGCCTCATTTACAAGTAGCTTCCACAAATTAGCCAAGTTACAAATAATCGAAAACTATTCGCCTCCCGCCTCTCGCCTCTCGCCTCGCGTTGCGCTATGCGGCTTCCGCCTGCACGGAGACAACATGAAATATAACTGAAACTGAAAACAAAACCTATCGAAATCTTATCGCGCTCGTTGTTATGTTTTGGGCGGTTATCGGTGAGGTAGGGGAGTGCGGAGGTGTGGTGAGGGAGGCTATCGTATCGCCTGAAAATTTATGCTTCGCATAACCTCGTTTTACACTTCACTCCATAGTTTGTTCCCAAGCATAGTTAACGCTACTTCAGCACGGTTCAAGATATGAGATGGGTCGAGTGAGAGGGTGTGGGTAGGGGCGGGTGGTTGGTAAAACGCATTATTTTGTAATTATCGACAGAGTTCTAATAAATAAATCGAATGTGCGACGTACAAAAAAAAAAATAATAATAATAATAATAAAAAGTATATATATACATATATATAACAAAAATGGTAAAGAAGAAACGTCGCAAAGTTTTCGACTGGGCTATAATATTTTCCCTCTTCCTCTTCGTTTTTTCCTTAGTAGGTTGATGAAATTATGAATGAAGATAAGGTATGCCACAAGACTTGAATGGGTCTGTATGTGGGTGTGTATGTGTGAGTGTGTTGTTATGTGTTTGTTGGTAATGCAAGTGTTTGTGCTTGGCGTTGCCCAAGATGTTTGAAGTGCTACCAATAGTGAGGCCCATTAACAGTAATATTTCAAAGGCAAGCAGGGTATACCTGCATACCCTATAAATGACATGGTCGAAACGATTTTCAGTCTAAATATGTCTACACTATACCAATATTTGCCAACTACAAATTTAATTTTGTTGTTTATGTTTACTTTTCAGTTTTTATTCATCTCATTATTACTATTATTTATAAAGTTATGTTTTTTATTTTAATTTTTGTATTTTCATTCGAATGTTTTTCTGGGCTGATAAAGAGCATACGCTAAATTTATATATATGTAAGAAATGTGATGTGGACCCCAGTAGCTCACTTATAAAGCTGCCTGTTCGCATTGACTTTTCTAACTGTAGCGAATGCAGATTATCATGCACAATTCTTTAGATTCTAGACCAAAAAGTCAAAGACCGTAATTTTTTTAAAGTGATGAATAAATAGAATTTATATTTAAATTTTCCTGATGTAATTTTATTTGTAAATCATTAACATAAACTTCACATTTGAACAGTTTATTTGCAAGCTAGACTTTCAACCGTTTATGCACTTGAGTTAGATAAAAGTCTCAAATTAATGGTAAATAAAATTGAATCATATTATGGAGTTTCAATTAGGTATACCAGGTAGGATCTACAATTTTGCAGAATATTCTAGAAAATAATCAAATTTGTATCTCCATTTTTTGTACACTGTATTTCAATGTACTTTTATATTACTGTATACTTACAATAAAAAAGAGCAGTCTTTTTAACTGATTCGACATTCATTCGGCGATTAATGTACATAATTTTAACCCATTTACTGCCAGCTGAGCAGCAAACTAAAATCTCGTCCTGCTCGCGGTGCTCTCCACGGCCACGTTTAACAATCTGCCAGCGCCGTTAGATAACGCTGACATTGAGGTTGCACTGCGAGCTGGGGGCGCGGCAAAGTGGGAGTCATCAATTGGCAAATCCGATTGCTGTTGCCAGGAATTTCAAATTGAACGCGTTCGATCGCTTGTTTTTTATTCGCGCCAATTGCTGTGTGCTCATGCACAAAAATAATAGAAACAACAACAGAAACAACAATTTCAGGCGGCACAATGCACACACACTCACACACACCACACACGGGCACGGTACATTGGGTGGGGGAGGCGAGGGCGCGAGAGGCGCTTCCGTTTCCGCTTTGGCAAACAATTCGCAGCGGCTGTCACGTACTAATCTGTTTTGTTTTGCTCTGTTTCGGATTTGCTTTGTTTTTACTTTTATGAACTATTTACAGGTGCTGGCGTTGCCACCTAATTCGCAAATGTGGCGTGCGTAACGGTAAATTCGCGAATTCGAATACGAAATGCTGGAGACTGTGGCAGCGAGTGATAAAGACAGAAAGAGACAGAGCGAGAGCGCGTGCGACAGAGAGAGAGAGAGAGGTCCGCAGTTGAGCTGGCACCGACGTTGAACGTCTTTGCAGGGCGATTGAATTATCGAGACTAACCGAAACGAAACGTGCGACATTTTCTTGTTGCTGTTGTTGTTGTTGGATACGGATACTGCCAACATAGCAAGCGACCGACACTGGCAGCACCCGCGGCAGAGGCTGAGGCAGAGCCAGCGACAGCGACAGCAACAGAGACAGAGGCAGCAGCACCAAACAAGAGTTGGTGGCAGACAGCTGCACAACAGACATGTTGCATGTCGAGTCCCGCAGCCAGGCCAATGAGAGTTTGATCCAAAGAGAAGCCACACGCGCATTATAAATATTTGATTTTTAATATTATTATTTCATTGTTTGCTATTTGATATATCTTACTTTTACTCGATCATTTGATAAATGTAAATATTAAGCTAATTTTTTATTATATTAATATTATTTATA